CCCCCCAGTCGGGGATCACCGCCCGGAGCGGGGCCTACGAGGGCCCCACTTCTGTTGCGGAGGTGCGCCACGGAGGCGCCTGGAACAGGTGCCCCCCACAGGTCAGGGGGCGTCGTTTGGACTGTTCCTTTCTTGGCCCTAGGAGACCACCCATTCGGGGATCATCGCCCCGAGCGGGGCCTACGAGAGCCCTCTTCCCTTGCGGAAGTACGCCGCAGAGGCGCCCGGGCCAGGGGCGCTGCCCCGCATGTCAGGGGGTCGTTAAGGCTGTTCCCTAGTGGCCCTGAAAGATCCCCCCGTCAGGGGCCCCCCGCCCCGGGCCTACAAGAGCCCCTCTCCTGGTGCGGAGGTGCGCCGCGGAGGCGCCTGGACCGGGTGCGCTGCCCCACAGGTCAGGGGGGTCGCTGAGGTGGTTCCTTCTTGGGCCTTCGAAGCCCCCCCCGCTCGGAACCCTCCGCCCCAGGCCTCTGAGGGCCCTTTTTCTGCTGAGGGGGTGCGCCGCGGAGGCGCCTGGGCCAGGGGCGCTGCCCCGCAGGTCAGGGGGGGTCGTCGGGGCTGTTCCCCCTTGGCCCTAAGAGACCCTCCTTCGGGGAGCACCGCCCCGAACGGAACCTACGAGAGCCCTCGTCGGTTGCGGAGGCGCGCCGCGGGGTCGCCCGGACCAGGGGCGCTGCCCCAGAGATCACAGGGGGTCGTTCGGGCCGTCCCCCCTTGGCCCCAACAGGCCCGCATGCTTCACGCCTGCTGCCCCGCCCCCCTCGCACCCCCGCCCGCATTCGAACCCCGATCCTCCTCCCTCCCTGGAGGTCTCTGGCAGACATCTGGTGGGGGCAGCGCGCGTGTGTCGGCGGACTCGGGGCGGCGCGCTCGCGAGGATCCTGAAGCCTGGACCCTCGAACCGCGATCCTCCTTCCCCCTGGAGGCGTCCGGGGAGGAGGGCACGAGGCAGGCGGAGAGCCCCCAGGAGGAAGTACACCCACGGAAGCACGAAGCACCCGAGGAGGTGCCCAAAGATGTACTTCCCGAGGTACGGCCGAAGCCTGCCACAGGGATCACCGGGGCCGGTTCCCTCACGACCGCTGGCAAGCACCAGGTGACCATGGGTGTTTTCCCCCTGGCGTCAGCCACTGGTGGATAGTTTCTGCCATGCCTCCGACTGGGAGGATGGGCCCAGCTCTCGGCCAAATATTGGATTCGAACTTTCCTGCAAGTTCGCAGGCACCCGTGTTTCTCCGACGACCGCGTAATCCTCAAAGATGGTGTAGGTACCCTTAAAACCTATAGCGAGCTTGGTAATCCTCCTCCTCCTCCTCCTCCTCTTTCTCATCCTCCTCTTTCTTCTCCCCCATCCCCCTCATCATCCTCATCCTCCATCCTTTTTGTTTTTGGATATCTCCTCCCTGCCGCACCCCCAGACGCGTCGGTAGGGCAGGCCAGTCCTTTGTCCTGAGACCTCCTCACCATATGATATTGAAGCTTGGACTGTGGCAGCAGTTTCACGCATGGAGGGCGGGTCGTTTTCAAAATGGTGTTCTCGATGTATTGCTGCGCTGCCGGCATTCGTTTTAAGAGTTTGTGCAGCTTCACGGATGGAGGGCGGGTGTTCTTCAAAATAATGATGTTGTCCCATTAGCGTCCCACCCATTGGTCCTACGAGTTTGCAGAAGTTTCACGGATGGAGGTCGGGTGGTTTTCAACATGTGCATCTCGCATTAGAGCCCAGCATATTATTATTGAAATGTTCGCAGCAGTTTCTAATATGAAGGTCACTTCCTTTCCAAAATATAGCTTTCGCGTTAGCGCCGCGCGCATTCCCTTCAACAGTTTACAGCATTTTCAAATTTTCGTAGGGATGAAGTCCCAGGAATGTGTCCTGGCACGTTACTGTTGTCAGGGCGCAGCAGTCACGATGATTCGCGGTGTTGAAGTCCGAGATGCTGTGTTTGGCCACGGTTGAGGATTTCCAGACGGTTGTCTTTCAATGGGGCACGTCTTGCAACGAAGTCCCGTTCTTGTAGGGGCCTATTAAAAGGGAGTTTGGAGGTAGGGCTGATTGCAACATCGTTGATGCGTCTCTGGTTTGAACCGGTCCTTCTCCTCCGTCTCTGGTTTGAACCGGTCTTTCTCCTCCTTCTCCTCCTTCTCCTCCTCCTCCTCCTCCTCCTCCTCCTCCTCCTCCCTCTCGTCCTCCTCCTCCTCCTCCTCCTCCTCCTCCTCCTCCTCGGGTAAGCTGCACTTCCTTCCTCAGGCCCCACCGTTGTGCGACGGCCCCGGTGCCCGGCAAGCGCCCCCACAGGGGGCCCGAGAGCATGCAAGAAGTGGTCTGCCGCGGTCTTGCTCGCGTCGCGAGGGGGTCCTGGGCCGTCCCTCCCTCCGCCCCGCGGCCCCCCCGCCGCCCGCCAGAGGAGCCCTCGGAGGCCAGCTGCCCGTCGAGCGGCAGGAAGGGGCCGTCCCCGGACCAGAGGAACAAGGCTCCTGGCGGCCGCCGCCCCATGGCCGCCGCCCTTCGGGCAGCGACGAGGGGGAATCACCACCAGGGGGGTCGCCAGCTCAGGGTCGTGGGCATTCTCGGCGGCGAGCGAGGGGGGGAAGTGAGACGGAGGCCCTTCAGAGGGCGGCTGGACTGCTCGGAAGCCCGCGCGCCTTTGAGAAGTTTTCTGTGTCTTCGGGTAAGGCTCAGGGAACTTCTCAGAAGGCCAGGGCACCTGCGAGCCTTCTGCGAAGGCCTTCTCCTTCTCACTTCCCCCCCAAGCTCGCTGCCGATACACAGTCAAGACGGTGAAATTCGAACCGCTGTGGGCTCAGGAGGAGCTCGGGTTCCATGCCGTTCCTGAGATCTGATACGTCTTGGAGCCCGTTTTTGACTTGTGCCCGCCGTGGCCAGAAAAGCTCCTTCATTATTTATTCAGCGTTCCTTATGGTAGCACGATGACTAGGAGGAGGAGCTGGAGGAGGAGGAGGAGGAGGAGGAGGAGGAGGAGGAGGAGGAGGAGGAGGAGGAGGGGGAGGGGGAGGGGAGGGGGAGGAGGGGAGGGGGGAGGGGAGGGGGAGGGGGAGGGGGAGGGGGAGGGGGAGGAGGGGGAGGAGGAGGAGGAGGGGGAGGGGAGGGGAGGGGGAGGGGGAGGGGGGGAGGGGAGGGGGGAGGGGGAGGGGGAGGGGGAGGAGGAGGAGGAGGAGGAGGAGGAGGAGGAGGAGGAGGAGGAGGAGGAGGAGGGGGGGGGACGCATCGACCCCAATCGCCCATTGATCGCCGATAGGGTTCTGATAGCCCCACGAGGCGCAGGAGCGGTCGGATTTGCTATCGGGGGCCTATCGCCGATCCATCGGCGATGCATCGCCGATTCCAGGGCAAAGATCCCCGCTATGCCAGTTCCCCTCTGCCGTTGCCCCTCGCCCCTTCTCGGGGAAAGACGGGGGGAAGACTCGGCCCGGCGAGACTCGGCCAGGCGGAACTCGGCCAGGCTGAAGGCGGCCCCGGCCGAAGTCAGCTTGGCCGGATTCAGCCTGGCCGAGTCGAGGGCGGCAAAGAGGGGGGACGATTGGGGGGGGGTGGACATCATGGCGCGGGTCATGATATTTCCCCAGATTTCATGGCGCATCTTCTTATTTCATTACGTGCCTGGCCCCTCCGCTGGGCCGCGCACATGCCGCCAGTTATGATTTGCACACACCCCTCTGAGCCGCTCACGACCGAGATCAGCTGGCCGAGTTCAGATTGGCCAAATTCAGTTGGCCGAGTTCATCCTGGCCGAGTTCAGTTGGGTGCCTCCTGGAGTTCGAGGTCTCCACGATCGAAAGCCGAGGCGGTCTTTGGACGTCCGGGGTCGTGGCGAGGAGCCCTGGAGTGGTCTTGGGAGCCCTACTTCCTCGAGGAGAGTGGCGCTTCCTCGAGGAAGTGCCGATTCCCCTGGTGGTGACCCCCCTTGGCATTGTCCCACTCCGCCCTCCTCCCAGGGTTGCGTCAAGTCGGGCTTGTCCCTCTACAGGAGGAATCTTCAGGAATAGTTGAAGAATAGTATGGGGACGATGTTTAATCACTGTTTGACTATGTGCGATCATGTTTTGACTACTTTCAGTTTTCCTCCAACATCCGCCTGTAGGAGGACATGCCCGCCCTCCTCCCAGGGTCGGCGGCGAGCCCAGGGGGGAAGTGAGAAGGGGCGGGCCTTCTCAGAAGGCTCGAACATCCCCTGGCCTTGTGAGACTTTCCCTGAGCCTTCCCCGAGGACGCAGAGCATGTTTCGGGAGGCGCGAGGGTGTCTGAGGAGTCCCGCCGCCTTCTGAGAGGGCCTTCTCCTCCTCTGCTCCCAGCCTCGCTCGCCGCCGACAGGAACCTTCGGACTCGGGACTCGGAGCAGCAGTACCAGTCGAAGAGGAAGGGCGCCGGAGCGACCTTCAGCGCGCGGCCAGAACACGTCTTCTCGTCGGGTCACGTCGGTGTTTCTTGCCTCCTGCGCTCCAGCAGCCGCGCCCCGCCGGGGGCGCTCCGGGAGCGCCTGGCTCCTCCGGAAGGGCCGCCAGAGGCCCGAACTGTGGCCCGAGGGGCGACGGCCAGCAGGCAGGCAGGCAGGCAGTCCGATCGAGTCAATGCTCGGCCCAGGGTCGGGCGCGACTGCGTTGAACCTCAAGCCTCACTCTTGGAGCCCGAGGGAAAAAGGCACAAAGCCCTCTTCGTGCTCCTGAGAGGACTTGTCCGCACTCACTTCATACCATTCGCTCTCATAGCACTCCCTTGCAAGCTTGCGCAGATAGTCACGCTATTGCACGTAATTGCACGTCATTGAGGTCAGTTGCACGTAACTGAGGTCAGGACTAGTTGCGTAGCGTGTCGCGCCGCCAGTTCTGGCCTACGGCGCTGCGGCGCGGCAGGCCAACCGCTTCCCAATGCCTCAGCGTCAGTGTGCCGAGACCTTCCGGGCCTCCCGCCCCTCGGAGCGCGGCGGCACGAGACCCGCCCGCACGGCGTGGCGAGTCGCCAGGGCCGCCGCCGCGGCACTCTGAGCTCAAGGTCCCGCCCGTGAGCGTTCCGAGGTTCGCATGTGCTGAATTGGCGCCGGAGCCCATCCGTGGCGCGTGGAGCGCGCCGGGGGCGGCGCCAAAGGCACCGCCAGGGAGGTGTTTGTGCCGCAGCCGCAGTTCTCTCTGGAGGAGGAGCACACAGGGGCAGCAGGAGGAGCCGGGCGATCAAAAACAGCAGAAGCAGCACAGCAGAGGAAGGCGAGCACAAATGGGGCCAGATCTGACCTCGCTTACGGCCACCGCAGCACAGAACCACGTGTCAGCTCTATCGGACTTCGTGGCAGCCGCACGCGGGGCCAGGGAGCCAGGCAACCGGATCGGACTTCGGGGCAGGCGTGGAACCATGCCGCGACACTGGCACGGCACGGGGCCCACCCGATCGAGCTCCGTGGCGCCACATGCGGCGCCCTTCGGCACGGCTGCACAGCACCACACGGCACTAGCCATCCAGCTGGGACTTCTCGGACCACTACGCTTCGTGACGCATGGCACCGTGGCACCGCAAGACGTGGCACTTTGCCACCAAGGTGGATCTCGTTTCATTGTTCTTGCTTCCCCTTCTCCTCCTCCTCCTCCTCCTCCTCCTCCTCCTCCTCCTTTTCCTGCCCCTCCTGCTCGTCCCTCTCCTCCACCCTCGTGCTGCTCCTCCTCATCCACCCTCCTCCTTTCCTCCTAATCCTCCTCTGCCTTCTCCTCCTCCTTTTGTTATTTTTCATCCTCAAGCAATCGTTAGCTACCCAGGAAGCGAACTACCACCAGCTCAGCGCCCGGCTCAGCCCAACTGGCACAGCGGTGTCGATTGCCCACGCAGTCCAATTCGCTGTCGATGCCAAGGTCGAGACCATCAACAAGCAGCCCGATTCGTTCAACCACGTTCCAGAGCTCAGCATCCAGAGTATTTGATTTTCTGATGATCATCCTCGCCAGCGCCAGCCACAGCATGATGTAAAAACTCGCAGGTGCATTCGAACGTCCCCGAGGTCCCTCACCATGCAACAGCGCCGAAAACACTGGGGCACCGCAGTGGCGCCGCAGATCCCGACCACCCTCAAGGATGATTGTACTTTGAAGATCTCCAGGGCCGGCAAATCATGTTACGTTGAGTTCTCTTCTGAAGAAAATGCAGCATCATTCATGAACATCTGCAATGGTCTGAACGTCTCCTGGCGCGACCCGAGGAACAACGCGGACAGCATCACCAGAACCCGCGTTGATTTTAACATTCGAGTGGCGAGCAAAGCAACGCGCAGCCAGCCTCCTCTGGCAGCGGACGCTGGACCTCCCCAAAGCACATAGGACGCCCATGTAGCAGTTCCGCTTCGCGGTCAATGGCTACCAGGGCCTAGTCCACCTGTCGTCGGTTGACGACGCTTGCGAGCTCTATTTGATCAAGACGACATCGGAGAACGGCTTCCCGCACGGACCCAAGCCCGAGAGCGTCCGCGAATGGCACGTCGCCGACAAGGACGTGCGACATGATGGAGCTTGTACTTGACGAATCCAAGCGGGTGCAGTAGAGAACCTTTTTGGACGAGCCCAACGCGATGAAGACCGGACATGTTGCATAAGCGGGGGGCGAGGATGACCTCAGAGTGACGCCTGCTAGTGCGAGACGTGGTGTGCCTCCATGCTCCCCCGTGCTCCTCACAATCCAGATAATTATAATGCCAGTGTTGTTGTTGGCCAAGGTTGTGGCCACCCCTCAGCTACTAGTCTCCCAATTTTTCCACACGTTCTTCCCCATCCCCGTGGCCCTGTACAGCCATCTCTTCTACAGTTCTCTGAAGGTTTCCTGACAGCTGCCGCGTGGAATGTTTATACCCTAGACGGAAGCATCTCGACCTCACGCGAACTACAATCCTGTACTAACATGTATCTGGAAGCAGTTATTTCGCAAGCGCGACGTCATTCTCCAGGAAACCCATGGGACCGCCGAAACTTACGGGGACTCAGTACCCCATATCTTAGGTTTCACATGTTTGGGACCTTCTTGGTTTCCGAGATCGCTGGAGGTGTTGCCATCCTGGTTCACGATCGGATTGCAGCTCAGCTTCAGGGCCATGAAGTGATCAAAGCGGTTCCTGGGCGAATCTTGGGACTTCAAATATTTGGGCCCCAAGGGGCGCCCCAGGCGCTCAACATCCATCTCGTTCCGAACCTTACTCGGACCTTGCAGAAGCAGTCCCTCCGCGAGTTGGCGCCGGCCGCGTTGCCGAACAGAGAAGCTACGACAGTGCCTGCAGGTGGTTTCAACGCTTGTGCTTCTAGCGAGGGCCGTATACGTGTCTGCGATGGTGCTACTCTTCCGGCGTCTCCTCATTTCTGCAACTACTGTCAGGACTTCTTTCCAGGGCATGCTGAAATATGCCAACGACACCACGCGCATAACACCAATGGAGACGATCGAATTATTCCTTTGGGGCGGCGTGGCAGAATAATGTTTCCACGCCGACGATGGTCCTTCTTGACTACAAACCCATCACAAGCATCGTCTCAAGCCTTTGTCAGGACAGCCCGCCGAGCGACCTCGCTGCGATCGCCCTCTCCCCGACCTCCCCCACCTGCCAGAAGGATCGCCGCAGCTCTCCGACATTGGTCGTCAAATCGCCGCAGTCCTCGGAGGGGATGCAGATGATCCCGGGCGAAATCGACTTGGCTCGTGAAATTCCGACATCAGGCCCGCGGCTCGCAAAACGCCGGCGAAAAGATGTCTTGGATGCATGCCTTGTCCAAGGCGGCCCGCGACGGCCGCGGCAGGTCGGCCAGGAGGGCGTTCAGAGCTCATCCGCACCTGCCCGCGCTCTTCGATCACGAGGTCACGCAGCGGCACGACCAGGCCAAGTTCCAAGATGAGCTCGTCTCGCCCACGCACGTGAGTTTTTGTTGTTGTCAGCGCGAAGAGCAGGGGATGGTTGCCGGCGCGTTTCTGCGCCCCGAGAGCAAGGGCCGGCGCTTTACGCGCTCGCGCGAGCAAGCTGCCGCCTGGGCCCCCCATGATCGCGAGATCTCCCTGCGTGGCATCGTTGGGCACAATGGGGCCCCCTTTCTGGCTCCCCCGAAAGTTCCGCAATGGCTCTCGCTAGGGATTGGGGCGACGCGCGTGCGCCCAGAGACGTGGGCTCTGAAAATGTCGAGCTCTTCGACCCCCGCATCCACGCAGTCTGACAGGGCAATTCATGGAAAATCATGCAAGGCCAGTTTCGGGCTGCTGTGCCATGCTCGGAGCTCTGGCCCAGGGCCCGACGGCGTACTCACTGTGCGCGGCGATCTGGTGGCGATATCTTCGCAGGCGCTCTTTTTCTGGCCTTTGCAAGCGCGTCCTCTCGGGAAGCGACGCGAATTGCGCGGGGTCAGGTGCGAGGCCCCAGCTCTATTCGCCCATGTTTCTGAAAGCAACACTGCTAACAATTATCGCTGCTGCAGTTGCGTGCCCTCTCACCTCCGTCTCCTGTCGCATGCGCCGTTGCATCCAGCGGGGTGGCGCGCGCGGCCGTCAGGGACTGGAGCTCGCCGTTGTCGTCTCTGCCACGATGGCGATAACCGGTGACGCGGACTTCCAGTTGTCCTGCGGGACGCGTTGCTTCGACATTAAGACTGCTTCCCCGAGCCTACATGTCCAGTGGGCCCAGCACGCGCTTAGTAAGATGGAGACCCCTGAGCGTTTCAGCAGGCCCTCATGATATTCTACCAGAGCCTGGTTATCCACGTTGACATCGGCGGCCCCACTGAACAGTCGTACACGGCACCGCACGGCGCGAAGCAACGCTGCCCCATATCTGGCACTTTGTCCGCTACCTGCTTCGACCCAGTCCTCCGGTACATCCATCGGTTCGCTGGCTCTCCATACGACCCTGAGGTCACCGCGCTTTGGTCGACGATCTTGCGATGGCTGCCGAGAACAATATACCCCCCCCCCCAAGGTTGCCCCGGGGTGCTCGAGCAGGCCACAAGCGCAGGGCCCCACATTCACCCCGCTAAGGCCCAGGCCATCATCCCAAGGGACTTCGAGCCCCAGGATGTCATGGGAAAGCTTTGGAGGTTCCACTTCATCGCGCGGAAGTTCAACATTGCCGACCACGGAAAGCATCTGGGGATTATATAGGGCGCCGGTGCCGTGAACGGTCTCGGGCGTCCCCGAGGCCCCCCCCTGAATAAGCGCGGCCATCGTCCAATGTCCCTCGGGCTATCGTCCTGCCGGAACGTCGAGGCTTGCGACGTTTCCGGCTTCTCGGCTGGCGCGCGCGTGAGCCTGGCCCCCCCGCCCCCATCGGTCGCCCCAGCCGCGGAGAAGAAGGCGACAATGCCATCCCAGTGGCGGCAACGCGTGATCTCAAGATTTTCGGCTTCGCCTCAGTAGTTTAGGGGCTTGCGCCTATGTTGCCGGGCTGTTGTTTAAAGAGCACGCTGCAAGTGCGCGGCCTTCCGTCGATCCCGCGAGCGCGTAGCAGAGGTGCCGGAGGAAGTGCGATTGGGTTGTGTCTTTTGGGTTTCCGATTTTGCCCACAGCGCCATTTTCGAGTATCCGGGGAAGGCTTGGGATGAAATGATTGCGATTCCCAGGATGCCCGCTGAGCCTCTGCTCCAGGAATCGCACAGCAAAGCGCTGAGTTGTTGGATCCGCCACCACGCGTCAGTAGGCGGCCGTTGGGTCCTTGGACGGAGGCTAAGACACTTCCACCCGACCTGCAATGTGGCCGAGCTGGACAGGCAAATACAACGTATTTGTGTGCGTAGCGCCCCGCAGATGCGGGTAAGAGTGATGGGGCGGTGGGGACGTCGGCAGTTTGAGAGACTCTGGAGAAGCCGGCCGCAGACGCAAAAGTTTCACACATTATCAGAGTGAGGGGGCCGAACGGTCATTCATTGTCCCTGGGTGCGCGGCTGAGTAGGGAATCCGTGGTGAGAATTATGCGTGTTGCGTTGTTGTTGTTGTTGCTGTTGTTTGTTGTCGTCGTCCCACCCGCGACCCACCCGCGACCCACCCCGCGACCCACCCCGCGACCACCCCGCGACCCACCCATCGACCCACCCCGCGACCTACCCTCGACCCAAGCCGCGACCCACCCTGCGACCCACCAGCGAGCCACCCGCGACCCGCCCCGCGACCCACCCCGCGACCCATCCGCGACCCATCCCGCGACCCACCCGCGACCCACCCCGCGACCCACGCTCAAGGGAGGAAAACCACCCAGACCCGACAAGTGACATTTACTAAACGACCCTGGGCGTTTACTAAGCAGCCCTGCCTTGTTCGATTCATTCCTTGTGTGCGTTTACTAAACGGATTCGCTCGTCGGGGTGATTACTATGGGGTGAAGTTTCTGCCCTCTACACCCGCGACCCATCAACGATCCACCCGCGACCCACCCGCGACCCATGTACGACCCACCCGCGACCCACCCGCGACCGACCCACATTGGTTTAGCAAAACAATCGGGACCTGCGGTGGGCTCATTGTATAATTTGTGAAATCTTGGCGCCTGCGGCGGGCTTCTTCAGAATCTCGCGAATTGCCGACGTCCCCACCGGCCCCTCCCTCTTATACACATATGCGGGGTGCTACGGTACAACGGGCCCGCCGCAAGCGCCGATTTTTTCGTTAAACCTAATTCGATGGGCGGGTCGCGGGTGGGTCGCTGTTGGGTCGCTGGTGGGTCGCGGGGGGGTCGCTGTTGGGTCGCGGGTGGGTCGCGGATGGGTCGCGGGTGGGTCGCGGGGTGGGCTCGCGGGTGGGTCGCGGGTGGGTCGCGGGTGAGTTGCGGATGGGTCGCTGGGTGGGTCGCGGGGTGGGTCGCGGGGTGGGTCGCGGAGTGGGTCGCGGGTGGGTCGCGGGGTGGGTCGCGGGTGGGTCTCGGTTGGTTCGCGGGGTGGGTCGCGTGGTGGGACGCGGGGTGGGTCGCGGGGTGGGTCGCGGGGTGGGTCGCGGGTGGGGTCGCGGGTGGGTCGCGGGTGGGACGGCGACAACAAACAACAACACCAATCACAACAACAACAACAACAACCACAACAACAACAACAACAACAACAACAACAACGCAACAAACATAATCCTCACCACGGATCCCCACCCCAGCCGCGCACCCAGAGGCAATGAATGACCATTCGGCCCTCTCACTCTGATATGATCGGTGGTGACATCCCTCCTTTTCCCCCTCGCTTCCGTTCTTGAGTCGGTCTGCAACTGTTGGAATACCATGGTCAGATCTATAACGGGAGCCCAGAGTTGCCTGTATGGTTGTATTGCATTTTTTGTGGGGAGTACGATATTGCATGATCTTCGTTATCCACCCTTCCAACCTGCCGTGAAAGCCATGGTCCCTCACCTCCCCCTTTTCTGTCACTTGAGATTTTGTCTTTTGGTTGTTCAGTAACCATCCGAATGTCATGCGTACTTGTTTCTACAGTAAATGCTGTTGCGCTTGATTTCTCCTTCTGTGCATTTCCAATCAGCTTCATCTCAGCGGCATCCCTCATCCTCCTTGTGCTATCCGCTGCCTTGGTGCCCGTGCGCGGTCAATCGCAAACAACGGCGAGGAATATTCTTCAATGTCAGGTTGTATAGGAACAGTGCAGGTGTCGCGATGTTGGGCGGGACGGCTGGACCTCTTCCCGCACCTCGCTGCTCCTGTTGCTGGTCCGCCTCACCCCCTCTGCTGGGATTGGCGTTCCTTCTTCTCCTCCTTGTCCTCCTCCTCCTCCGCCTCCTCCTCCTCCTCCTCCTCCTCCTCCTCCTCCTCCTCCTCCTCCTCCTCCTCCTCCTCCTCCTCCCCCCATCCTCCTCCTCCTTTCCTCCTCGTCCTCCTCCTCCTCCTCCTCCCCCTCCTCTTCCTCCTCCTCCTCCTCCTCCTCTTCCTCCTCCTCCTCCTCCTCCTCCTCCTCCTCCTCCTCCTCCTCCTCCTCCCCCCCCCTCCTCCCCCGCATCCTCCTCCTCCTCCTTTCCTCCTCGTCCTCCTCCTCCTCCTCCCCCTCCTCTTCCTCCTCCTCCTCCTCCTTTTCCTCCTCCTCCATCTCTTCCTCTTTCTTCACCCCAACCCCTCCCCCCAGGCGCCACGCATGCCAATTAAACAAGGCCGCGCCAATTGGAACCTTGCCAGGCGAAGCCAAGTTGCGCCAACCACGGCTGGACAAACATCAGGTACAGCTTGTCCGCGCCACGTTGACCCGGCGGGGACCCCAGCGCGGGCGTTCAAGGTTGCATGGCGCCAGCGGCCTTTCAATCCACGGATACCGAGTGATGTGCGCTATCGGAAAGCCGCGACCGCTCAAGGCTGAGCGATTCACGCGGTGCCCGAAACCAACGCACGCGCCGTCGCGACGCAATTCTGCCGCACGCAGAGCTGAGTCAAGCCGGGCCAACACGACACCACCCAGCGCCATGACACGGCACCGAGCGGCACGGGGCCGCCGAGATGGCGTCACCGGCATCTCGACAGCGGGCGCGCGGCAGCACCGTGGCGCAGCACCACACAGTGCGAGAAGGCACCGCACCGCACGGTTCCCACCTCTCAGCCTCAAGCAGCAGCAGCAGCAGCAGCGGCAGCAGCAAGCGGGGGAAGCACGAGAACGTCTTCGACGTGCCAGGGATGCTCCTCGTTCGCGGCGCGGACGGTCGAGGCAGCACCGCACGGCACCAGACCCCCCCATCGATCGGCCCGTGGCCCTCCCTGCTCGAGCCGGTGGTTCCGACCATCTGGCGCCCCAGAAATAGATACACTTCCATACAGGTTCATGACACTGGCCGCGAAGCTGGCCAACTCCAAGCACCAGGATTACCACTCCATTATCGGGTCGGACGGCCATGGCTCGGAGGTGTCTGGGAAAAGCTCGGGTACTAATGCACAGGGGAATTCCGTATTGGTCACTGCTGGAGTCATCATCGGCGATACTTTGGGCGCTGGGCTGTTGACCATGCCAGGCGCACTGTCCATGTTCGGATGGCTTGCCGGTAGCATGTTCATCGTGGGCATGCTGGCACTGAACTTGCACATTTGCATGCTGCTGTGGCGGATGCGCATGGCATTCCCGCAGGCGCACACCTTCGGGGAGCTCGCTGAGGCTAGTTTCAGCAGAGCCCCCAGGTGGCAGCGGTCGCTGATGCGCCAGGTCACAGACTACCTGCAGCACATATTTGTTTTCTTCCTGCTCTCCGCTGACGCCACCAGCTTTGGAAAGGGCCTTGGCCTGCTCTTCTACGATGTGCACATCTGCCTCCCCGTCTGGGTACTGATCGGCTCCGCCATCCTGCTACCCATCCACGCGCGCACGCGGTCACTCGGAGGCAACAAGTTGTCGATATCGTTGAATTGCGTCGCCGTGATATGCTGCGTTGGGCTCTGCCTCCGCCACTTCGCCCACCAGGGTGTGCTTGCCAGCAGGGGGGCCGACGCCGAGTTCGCGGCTGTGACGTCCATGAGTGCGCTGGGCGTCCTGAACGGCCTGAACATAATGATGTTCAACTTCACGATCCAGTTCATGGTCGTGGAGATAGCCTCGGAGATGGAGAAGCCGCAGGAGTTCCCCCGGGCGCTGTGGGGGTACGCGTTCCCCTTCCTGGCCGCGCTCTTCACGCTGTGCGGCGTGGGCGGCTACTACTACCTCGGGAACAAGGCGCACGGGCTCCTGATCGGCCACATGCCGTTCGGGGTGCCGCTGAGGTGCACGGCCGCTTGCCTCGTGTTCCTCGTGCTCGTCGCGTACCTGCTCAAGAGTGTGGTGCTGTGCAGGACTATCCACGCGCACTGCGATCCCAAACACGCTGGGTGCGTCAGTGCGCGCTCGGAGGCCGGCTACACCTTCACCATAGTGCTCGTATTGGGCGCAGCTTTCCTGGTGTCGCAGGTGGTGCCCTTCTTCACCCCGTTCATTGACCTCATCGGCGCCACGCTTGCGCCTC